ACCTGAAAATTTCATTAGAATAAAACTAAATGCTGATTTTTTGTAGGTCGCCAATGTAGCTAGTGAGCGCTTTGCTCAGTAAACTGCAAGCTTCGTTGCAAAAATTAAAAATTTCAAAAATAAAGCCGAGATTGACTTGAAATTTTCAGGACTTGCAGAGAACATGCTGGTCTAAAACATCTGAAAATTTGATTAAAATCAAGCTAAATGCTGATTTTTTGGAGCTTTCCAATGTCGCTGCTAGTGAGCGCTTTGCTCAGGAAAGTGCAAGCTTCGCTGCAAAAATTCTAAATCGCAAAAGTAAAGGCGAGATTGACTTGAAATTTGCAGGACTTGCAGACAACATGCTAGTTTAAACTACCTGAAAATTTCATTAGAATCAAACCAACTGCTGATTTTTTGGAGCTCGCCAATCTTGCTAGTGAGCGCTTTGCTCACTAAACTGCAAGCGTCGCTGCAAAAATTCGAAATCGCAAAAATAAAGCCGAGATTGACTTGAAATTTTCAGGACTTGCAGAGAACATGCTAGTCTAAAACTCCTGAAAAGTTCATTAAAATCAAACCAAATCCTGATTTTTTGGAGCTCGTTCATTTTATTTCTGGTGAGCGCTTTGCTCAGGAAACTGCAAGCTTCGCTGCAAAAATTCGAAATGTTGATTTGATTATGGCCAGTTTTGCCGCATTTTTCGACAACATTTTTACCCCAAAGAGTTTCTAGGTAAAAAACTCCCAAAACTCAAAACCCACGAGTTTGATTAGTGGAATGAGGTGAAAGTTGGCAGATCCATTCCCACTTTCTTCATTCAGTCAGAGAAAGCGTTTTGATGCAATTTGGTCTATCGGTGTGCGTAGTCGGTTTATTTGGTACAATAAATTCGATGGAAACTCGAAAACTCATTTCATTCGAGCGTTCGATAATCGCATTGATTGATAGGAAATATTCCGATCAGTTGCACATCGAGTTCACGTGGCACTTTAATGCAAATAATCGCCGCGAAATAATTAAACTGAACACTTTCCCATAGATGAAAGCATTATGGGATGAGCGCTGTTGGAACAAACCAAATGCCGCTGTTGGTTCAGAAATATGCAATGTTTTGCTCGATTTAGCGGGATAATTTAACGAAAACTATGGACAGGTTGTATTGTTAAAATTTGAGGAAAGGCGGATTGAAGGCAAAATCCACTCTAAACTCCATATGCAGAATGCAACTCGCTTTAACTCGTCTAACGCGCTCTTGAAACGAATAAAATTTTAAGAGATGCGTAGCAATTTTACCTGCAGTTACAGGGCATGTTTTCGGAAAACTCCTGCTGGAAAATAACGTCATTCCAGTCTTTTTTTAAATTAATTTTCCTGATTGCGTGTAAATGTTATTATATTCTTTTCCTTCCTGGGCTCCGGTCAAAGTGTGAATCAAAAATTTGCATATCGTTTATTTCATAACGTTTCGGCGAGACAACAGCGCCATCATCAGATTTAAAATTTACACAAACTCATAATTGGTAAACATTACGTTC